TGACTTGTACAAAATCGATGTCTGCAACTGTTTTTTTCTTCTGTTTCCCAGCGTGTCCTTTAATAGGGGTCCACTGACGAGTCCAAGTCAACAGGATCCACGTCTTCCGGTCATTACCGACAGTTAACAAATAGTTCTCGACGACATCGCGCCACCTTTTCTTGGTCTTTGGTGCTGCCCTTGAGAGAACCGACACGGATGCTTCCAATTATGAATCAAAAATCACCTCCACTTTGAGTAATCACTACGAAACAAGGACATTTCACAGCCAAGCAGAATTCAATACGACAAATCTGCTTCAGTTGCTAATGTCGACAACGATCTAAAAATGAAATTAAAAAATAACGTTTACGGTAAAGACGGCGAAAAACTTAAACGGCAACATCGTACATTTGTATACGGTTGCTTTACTAGAAAAACTACGAATTCCGTATAAACGATTGTTTGTTATCTGAACGAGGAGTAGTTGTGTCAACCATTAGACTCTGCAATTAAAATAAGTCACTGCCGGATGAATGCACAGAAACGGAGAACAACTGAAAAAAATCCTTCAATCATGGAAGTCCGACATCCCAACGCGTGAACCATGTGCCACCTGGTGTGTAGGTAGTCCGCTGTAGCAAGATTATTCCTGAACTTGCGCCGAATCTGAGAAATGGTGCGCTCGTCGATTCGCAGTATACTAAACCAGTAAATTGGGCCAGTTTATTTATCTATGCCAATTTAGGCCTAGTATCTGGTTCCCATGGCAAACATCAATATCACGGCTACAATTTCAAATACGGAATACCTCTACGCCAAACGCAAACGTTACGTCCCCAACGTCGCCGGTAAAACTTGAGGTTTTTGACTGACTATCAGTTAGCAGAGGCGACAGCAGTGTAGAAGGGAAAGGTACGGCAAAAGCAGAAACTAATCAGTGATTAGAAATTTTCGCCAATGAAAGCTGAAACTGCAACTGGCGATAAGGGTCGATGTTGGCAACGCAGTAGTACTGTAGTCTTTCTCTTGTGGTAAGGGTAGGTAAAGATCTCTCGTTAGCCCCGGACTATCGTAAGAGGATTATCGCCTGCAACAAAAACTTGAAGCCGAACAAGAGCTAGGATTCCTGGTCGGCAGTAGGTTGCTCTGCTGTAGTAATCATAGCATACACGTGGAATCACGCCGTAGAATCACGGCGTGCGATTCATGGTCACGGGTCATTAGTGCCGATTACAACTCACTTCCATTGACGGTCAATGACAAAGTCGCCGGAATGGTCCACCCGACCTCAATCGGTCACGAAGGGCCGATCCAATCGATGGCTGTCAAGCAACTCGCTATGTAATAAGTCTTTGGCCGACTGGTAGCTAAGTGGAATAGTTTCGGTTTGGTTCACCGTTTCCTCTGTCTTTACTGGTAATCGCTCTGGAGTACCCTGACCACTGGAAGCCTAGGTGTGACGGTTCAGCTCAGAGTACGTTCGTGTACATTTTTTACACTTAGTTTGTTGCATCTGAACGTTGTTCTGTGACATTTGAGTTAGTTAATTTTGTCTTTCTTAACAGTGAAATCTGTGATACAGTACTCCCTCTCATCAGTAGAAGATTGTCAGGTTGCATTAATCCAGCGAAGTTCTCCGAATACTCAGTAAAACCGCTACTTACGTTTCCTCACCGACTTTCATGAAGATGTCACGGTCGCCATGTTCGTACGCTGAATGCAAAATAGTACCGTAATTTATGCGCTGTGTGCAACCATTAGCTGTGATAATCGTGCATTTTTGTATATGCTGAATAATGGAGTTGCTCTGTGAGTCAGTTCAAACAGTAAACCTTCAACTACCCGTTTTCTGGACGTACTCAATACATTCAATTACCGTTGAACTAATGCTACACCCCTCCGGATCGGTCGATCAGCTGGTATGCACAGACGAACGACTGGAATATCGGTAGTCATCCCGCTCGTTAACATCTGATCACTGATCATCTAAGTATTAAAAAAACATAAAGAAAATGGATTATTTATACATGGCACGATACCCTGCTCCATCGGATGATAGACACCGAAATTAACATTTCAGCCTATCTCTCATGCGCAATGTTCACTGGAAATTCACCGGTAAAATTCGGTCACTGTTGCTGTTTTGGTGGCCACCATCAGTGGTTCAATTTTTAGTCTAGAGGCCGATCGCACAACAGACTCAATGCGTTGCTTTGCTTATAAACAAACTGTTCTTGCACTGCCTTTCTTCAGTATGAGTATCAACCCACGTACAGAACACTCGATCATTTAAATAGGCTCGATACGTGACAATCGACACTTCCATCCACCAACGATGCTGCGTCAACCATGTAGGTGCGATTGCTATCTTCATTCGAACGACCTACGAACCATTTGCTGCAGAAAACTTGTACGAGCGATGAGGAAAAATTCGAAAATGGAGCGACATGTCTGTGTTAAGAGTTACGCACTAAAAAAAGAACCGACCACCGCTGGACCCATGAAACATCGACCGGATTTCAAGAAACGATAAACCACCTGTAAAGAGAGACCTCCATATCGCTGGCAGGAAACACGGAAGAGCTGTGTTTGATCAGGATCACGAAAAACAGAACTTTGCCACAAAAATACTGATTATGACGGCAGGACTTGATGAAGCTTTTCAAAAAGACAAGGTAATTTCTCGTGCTGAAGAAGGGTTGCGAAAGTTTTACTTAATCAATAATTTTTTCACGCTTTAAACAAAGTCTCTTTCATTATCTACTATCATTACCCGTCTGTTTATGTTTTCTCGAAGTGAACGTAATAATGCTTAAAATTTATTTATTTAAAAAAAGTAAATCTAGTTCAAGATCGCCCAGTAGTCAGGTGCTTTCGATGTAATAGCCTCTGGCGAAAAGAAAAACATTTTCTGAAACTCATCGATTTAACATGTAACTTCATCTAACATATTTCACATATTTTATAAGTAACTCGAAACTAGTGGAGCCTCAAGAAACAAATCTTACCAAATTCATGAATTAAACATAGTGCAATGGTCAAAATACGAGTAACGCGCAAAGAGATATGGCAGAGAACATTCTTACTACCTGAGACAAAGTAGAAAAAGGTAGTTGAAGGTAGAGGCGGGGGGGGCGAGGTGCATGATGTCTTTCAATCTCATCAGCCAGGCGAAAGACAGTCATGTTCCCAAGTCTGGAAGGCACAATCGACAGCCGCAGTGTATAATATTTATACGATGAAAGCAAAGAGAATACGACACAGAAGGTAACGTTGTAATTGGTTACTTTTCGACAAGGACAAGACGAAAAACGAAACGGTAGCCAAGACTCGTAACAGCTGGATTTCAAAATCACTGCGACACCAGAGGAGGTGAAAGTGGATGAACAATAAGCACCGGATGTTTAGCGAAGTCCCTCAGGAAAAATGCCATGCTGCACGAGGAGGTAGGCAACCCAACGCAGTCTACCGAGAACTCGACCGACCGACAGAGCCGTCCGTCACTTCACACCTCGGCGTGCCGCCGCCGTTTCGAAACGAGTGACAGACCAAACAGACTGATCAGCTGTTCGGCCTTTGTTGTCTGCACAGTTGACCGTCGTCGTCGTCGGCTGTCGCCGTAGTGCCAGGCTTTCCACCTGTCGTGGTCGCCGACGACCGAGTGGCGAATGGGCCGTGACCGAGTTTCGATCCTCAAAGCATTGTTCCTAACGGGTAACGTCATGTCGTCGAGCTGTACATTAAGAGGTATTCATTAAGAGAGGTGCTTTTGGGGCTAAATCGCGTTGTGACCTCATTCTTCTTAGACGTTTCGAATCGGCCCCTTAACGTACCTTGACGCGTCTAGCTGCTGCTGCGAGACAGAAACAAGACTCCATCTCAAGCGCGTCTTTTTTCGTTGAGAAATTTTCTCCTAGTACTCCCCCCCCTACCCCGCAGACCCAAACAGCGCATGCATACATCAGTTGACAACTTCTAGCAATTTCCACTGAAGCACAGATCGGTCCGTTGCTAACTACTCGACTGATCAGCCGTCGCGCTGTTAAGCTTCTTGTCGATCCTCCTCACTACTAGAGAGCGTACTCTTTATGGTCGTTCTGAATAGAGGCTGGGCAACACGGACAGAAATCTTGACAATGAAAATCAAAGTATGCCAAACAAGCAGTGGAATCAAATGGCACGAGATCATAATCGCAATATCAAGTTTTTACGCTTATTTTACAAACACACATCGAAGGAGGCTGGCTGATCCAATTCTCAGCCAAGAATGACTATCAGAAGAACAACCTCTTAACTTGCTAAGGAGCCTAAGCGTCTAGCAGCCAGTGGGAGGCAGAACGCTTACGTAGAGCAACTTCCGCATTAGCAACTGAAGTGACTGTAGATGTTTTTTGCGTCATCTAAGGCGAAAAAATCTTGAAATGCACAACGGCTTGAAATTTCACATTTCCTCATAAGAAAATGCTGCTCATCCGTTGCCATTTGGTACACTGTAAAGTAGAAGCGGATCAAATACTTGAAATACAGGCATAATCTGCGGTAATATTGGCAATCATTCTAAACAGGAAACATCTAATCTATTTAGAACATGCCTTCTCTGCACGATCTTACCTTTCCCTCACATGACAAGAAGCACATTGTCATATTCATCTACTTTCATCTATTAAACTCACAGTCGCGGAGTGAAGAGTAGATCTGGAAGACAACACAATTGACGATTTGTACAGAGAAATTTATTTCCTCTGCAGCGAAGATAAAAAATTTTACCGTCGATTACCACACTTTATATAAACTCTGTTCCAACTCGACTGTATGCTTTTGTTCCTCTGCGATGAGACCTCGACAGACTTAGGTTATTGCGATAAACAAAATGTTGCGAACGTTAGGCACAATGAACTATTTGTCGACTAGAACGTCCTGCTGAAGGAAGACTACTTTGGAAATTCAGCGAAACTTACACACAGTACTAAAAAAGACGTGGTCACAAAAAAGTTATCCTCACCCCTCCCCCCACCACCGCCCTCCAACGCTAGCAGCCTCTGCTCAGAGAGAGATAATTGTTGCTCTTTTCCGAGGCAAATAAATGGAATCGAATCTACGAGGAATACGTTAAAGCGAAA